GGCCGTTAGAGCCACAGCCTCCAACTCATCTTGCTCGGGAATTTATGATTAAAACAAGAAGAAGAAAAGGACTCAGTGAGGATGTATCCATCAACAAATTCTTCGACGATCCTATGTTGCTTGAACTGGCTCGACAAGACGTTATGTTCAATTACCCCTTGTAATTATTTTTTAGGAGCTTAGACTTAATTTTTATTTTATAAGTTGTATAAAAATAAATATTTTAAAATTATTGTATTTTTTTCGACAACAAACATGAATTTTTTTTCTTTGACCCCTCGATATCTAGTAATATCTTAAAATGAACAGTGTCTTTTTATTCCTTGTTCCTCCAGAGTCATGGCCATATAGCCTGCTTGGTGTAATTTATATAGGTCTCCTTCCTCATCATCTAATTAATAGTTGTTTGGTTAAAAATATTTTTTTATTTTTGAACATTTGAGAAAAGTGACTGACTGGCTAAATTTACCCATCTTTAGAACTTGGTCAAAGTGATGTTAAGCTTACAGATTGTGAAGATCCTCATTTGTTTACCTCCTGCCACTAGCGGACCTAGGATTTAATTTTGGAAGGGCTTCAGCCCGAAAGATTTTTTGTTTCGTATATATATTATCCACAACAATAATTAATTTGAAAAAAAAAATAAAGAAACTAACTATATGAAATGTTATTTAAGCGATTCTTGAAGTCCCATTAAATGTAATTACACGAACAATAATACTTTAAGAGATAGTTTTTAATATTTTTGTCTATAAAACATGCTATATTTTGCTGTTTTGGGGGGCTTCAGCCCCAAAGCTCTCCCTCCCCCTCCATAGATCCGCCTGTGCCTCATGCATTGCTATTCACATGTACAACTCGATTAATTCAACAAAGGCCCTTCCTTTTAGAAATAGTAATGATGTTTCTCAGCATTGGTAGATTTCTTCTGGGTTTCAGAACTGTGAATCACTAAAAATCAGAACAAATAACCAATCAGTAAACAGAATAAACGATAACTTTTCAAATATTATAATCAGCAATAGAATTGTAAACCACTTTCAGAACTTTAATTTAAATATGCAAAAAGTATCTAAAGATCTGCTGTTCTGAAATTAAATGAAAATCAGTAACTGTATTGAAGGTCATTAGATGAAAGGGGTGCATTTTAAATTAATTTCATAACATCTTGGAACAAGATTTTGGTATTTTAGTGATGTAATTTTATATGTATATACATATCAATGTCAATGTAATTTTATATGTATATACATATCATGTATATACATATCAATACCTCAAAAGAATAGAAGAGGCCACAAGAAAGGCTTAAAAGCAGATGGTTAGATTAAATCGGGGAGTGAGGTAGCTCAGTGGTAGGGCACTGATCTTCCAATGCCCAAGGTCCTGGTTTCGAATCCCTGCTCATGTCAGAAAAATTATTCATCCTGTTTCATCAGCTGTGGAGTGACCTTGGGGCACACCCAGCCTCCATAAATTGGGTACCCTAAATTAAACAAGGAGGAAAACCTGGCAGTTGAGTGTGATATCAGTTAAATCAACTCTTTGCGCAACCGTTGACTAAGAAACAGTATTTCCTCTAAATAGTACTGAACCCAAGAACCTTCACGGGTTTTAGTGGTACAGATTTTTTTTTTTCTTTTTTTGTTAGATTAAATCAACAAAGATTCTGTAGAGAGTTGCATACAGATAACTGGAAAGACAAAGCGCAAGATAGGCAGAGGTGGAGAAAGCTGGTCAGGGTAGGTGAAGACCTATAAGGTCTGTAAAACCAAAAGGGAAAATTGCTTTTGGACCCTTCAGATGAAATGAGATAGTTGAAATTTGCTATGTATTGTAGTTTCTAAGATATAGCATCCCCTCCTAATTGTGTTTGACGACCATCAATTTTCTTTGAGAATTGATTGATATTTGACCAGCAATGTCTTCTGTAGCCTCAATTTTCTTACTTATATTCCTTTTTTTTTTAAATTGCATTTAACTGATTTCTTGAACACCATCAGCCCCTCCAAATTGAATAGATAGTTGAAAATTTGCTCATTGAACTGGTGTTGGAAAAGTGTCATTTGGATGTTTACCCCAACATTTTGTTTCCTATTTTTTAAGGTTTTTCAAACGCCCACAGCTCTTCCAAATTGCATTAGTTGCCAATTTGAAGTGAGGTCAGAGGAATGTCTATTAGTAATCTCAATCTTTTTTCCAACCCCATATAATTAAAAATTTAAAGAGAGAACGAAATATTCATCATTCAATTGATTTACGAATTCTATTCAGTTTCCTCAGGTAAGAATTAATGAAACAAATAGCTTTTATCTTATTTCAAAAAATAAATAAATACTACATGATGGTACTCTGCTACTAATCTTTCTGTTTACTTTTTTTTTCTTCTTTCAGTTCTTAAGTAAGATTAGTCACTAATAAAATGACTCACATTGCATTTGAATCAGTATCAAACAGGGTATAAAGATCAATGACCAGTTGTTACTTAAATCAGTTGCCATTTACGGAATTTATTCTGCAAAATGATGCTTAATGGCTTTATGTTTACCTGTATAAAAAAAACTTAAATAAGTATAATTATTGTTATAATTTTATTAATGATAGGTGTAGGAAATGAAAAGTAGGGTATACATGAAGGAGTGTCCATCCACCCCAAAGTGAATGTCACATGAACTCACCCTCACCCAAGATATTTTATTGCTTCCCTCTTCTTAAACTATTGTAAGCGCAAGTAGAATTTAAAAAATCGTAGATCATATACAATTGTATTTGCTGCAGTCTGTTCTATGTTTTCCTCATGTCATCTGGTTTAGTACTTTTCATGCCAAAAATGTGCATCTCAAAAATATAAAACCATGAAACTCCCTTCTGGGCACCCCTGTATACATGGTTTGACTCCATACCTCTAAAAGGGATATTAGGCATAGGGATATTTACAATTAAGACCAAATATGAGGATCCCGATTCACCACTCATTTTTGAAATTTAAAATATATATATATATATATATATATATATATATAAACTAAAATTTGTAAAAACATCCACAACAATACAAAAGTTTTCTGCCTTTGTGTTATTCTTTTCACCAGCTGTTCCCTAACTTTTTTTTGACACAGTACCAAAAAACTTTTGTGACACTTGTCCAGCTAAAAAATGGCATCCTTAAATGAATATATTGTATATACCTTATGCAATTTTTACTTTACTCCCTTATTTATGAAAATACCTATTTCTACTTTAAATAGGATGGTAATTGAAAGTTGTATAATCCACTCTCTTCGCCATATTTTTAAATTTGAGTCTGCCAAAGGATACCTAACAGATATATAGGTAGAAGACGCTTTTTCCTTCTTATAAACCAACTAATATTTCGTAATAAAATTTCAAATGTCTCGAAATCGGTGAATTTTCACGCTTAACATTTCAATTTTTTAATTTGAGCCAGCCTTCGAAGAAAACGTTTCTTACTTTTATTATATACATTCACTGTAGTTATTATTTCAAAATTCTTAAAATTGGTGAATTTATTAATCTAAAGTCGAAATGTTGTAAATTTAGCCTGTCAAAAGATAACAGCTGCACAGAAACGGGATATTGCTCCAAAACGATACCTTTTAGCAGGAAGCACGGGCTGATCTACGGGGGGAAAGGCTTTGGGGCTGAAGTTCCTCCTCCCTCAAAATGGTAAAATATTGCCATTTTTTATGGAATAAAATCATCTCTTAAAGTATTATTGTTCGTGTAATTACATTTAAAAGGACTTTAGAAATCACTTAAACACCATTTCATATAGATAGTTAGTTTCTTTCTTTTTTTCCAAAGTAATTATCGTTATTTTTATGAAAAAAAAAGTTTTCGGGCTGAAGCCCCCTCCCTTCCAAAATTAAATCCTGAATATCCTGAATCCGCTAGTGGTAGGAAGTGTTCTCGTTCCTCAGCGTCGATGGCACATGAACCTTCATCCCCTCTCAAAATGTTTTATTGCTCTCTTCCTCTTAAAAACAGTGCAAGCGAAAGTAGGATTGGTCATATACAATTAAATATGCTGCGATCTGTGCCAGGTTCCCCCTTATTCCCTTGTCTGTAACTTTTCGTTCCGGAAATTCTTAACCCCGTCGAAATGTGTCTTCCTCAAAAATTAAAACTCCATCAAAATGTGCTTTCCCCATTATAAAATTTGATGGAACCCCCTTCTTTTAGTCAGTCAGAATTTCCCTTTTTCTCCTCAGAACGAGCTAGAAAATCTCTTCTGCCCAAATATAAACAAAATAATACATAATATTATATGTAATTACTAGTTTCATGTCAGTTTTACTTATATTATTAAAGAAAGAGATTAAATTGAGCTCTGGTTGATAAAAGTTGTTTTCATGTTTTTCTATACCATTTTCTGAATTTACTTCAAATGAGAACTTTTTCACCAAAGTGGAAATCTTGGTTTCGACCCATTTTGGTCATCAGGACTAAAAATTAAAAAATAAAAAAATACTACAGAAAAATCATAAATACATAAATATGGAAATAAGAAAATTCACTTCATGTTTACTTTTCATTTTTTTTTCTTTTTTCATTTATTTACTTATATATTTATATTTTTTTCTGATTTAATTATGTATTTTTTTATTTTTAGTCCTGGTAATAATCCATATGCTTGAGTCGTAACTTTGGTAAACATAATAAACATGATGGCATGTCCCTTAGTTCGTTTCATCCTTCCTTAATTTGTTATTAGTTCACTGACAAATATACTATGAAAACTATTCGCACGGGGAAACTATTTTCAATTTTAGATGTAATATTTTTAAATGATCCTATCTTGGAAAAAAAAATGAATCATGAATTTGAATGATTTTTACTCCTTCAACGCTATTCATTATTAGAAGTGCAATAAATCATATTGGACTCCTGCCTATAAGGAAATGAATCTTCGCCGGACAGTTCGAACAAGTACTTCATATTTCTTGAATGATAAGATTAGACGTGCGTTAGATAAGATTGCGAAATTATTTTCTCAGCCAAGTAGTTGTAGAAGTTTACCTTTGAAATGTCGACTCCGGATTTCGAGTCCCAAGAAATCGATAGGACAGCGTTATTAAAGAAGAGGAGACTTAATACACAACTGTTATTAGCGGTCTGTGATAAGGATCATGAAAAAGTTGAAAGGTAAGTCCCAAAAAGGAGATTTATTGTTTCATCAACTATTTTGTGTTAATGATGTTTTGTCTTATTTTTATAAAAATATATAACTATGCAGTTATATATTGTTTTTAAATCATCCAAAGATTTAAATTAAATGACAACAGTTCGTTTGCTTATACATATATATAAACGGCTTTCTAGTTTGGATGAAGACCGGTACAACTAAAAAATTAACTTAAGATATGTCATGTATATGAATTTATATGTCTCTAGTCGTGAAGAAGAACAACAGTTAGGAATAATTTTTGTTTTTTCAATTTTTTTGTAATCATAATCATCTTATTGAATATAATTAGGCAAAAATTGAAAAACGTTAATTTTTTAGTTACTTTCTTCTTTAATACATATATATTAATAGCCACAATATATATATACACTCTAAAGATACCAATCTATCAAAAGTTATGTTTTGGGTTTTCCATGTCTTCTTCACATCTGACAAATGCCGGCAAAATGAACGAATTCCCACTTTTGCATCAATATAACCAACAAGTTGATTATGAACCTAAAAATATGCAAAAATTATTATTTTACAGTATTTTTTTATTATGACTTTGAGGCGACATTTTTACTATTATCAAACGTCTTGGTTACCTATTGGCTCTATTCCAGTGTATACTATAACTTTAATTTAGCGGTGTGTTTAGACATTAGACAAACTATGGGAAATATGATGAAGAGAAGGATAGTTGGGGTGATCAGTCAAAGTAAAAATGGCAAAAATAATTAATAATATTTATTTTAACATTTGCCGACGTTTCGACCCGAAGTGCAGGCCTTCATCAGGGCTGAGAAAAGAACCAGATAACAATTGGTATGAGAAACATGAAGAATGTAGGTAAAAAAAAACTAAAAGTAACAAGAAGTAGATAAGTGAGTATTAAAGTAAAATAAAGTAGGTAGAATAAGGACAATAACAAGAACTAAAAAATAAATAAATATGGGAAACATAAATATTTAAATGGTTGCTTCCTTAGGCTTCTGATGTTTTATATCTACTGTCGGTAACAAGCCGTACAGTCAATGAATGCTCGAAAAGGTGGTATAGAAGGAAATGGTGACAACACAAAGTTTGGCTTTCGGACATAGTTTGGACTAGTAAGGAGGTAAACATACTAAAACATTTTCACTCCTAGGTGGTGAGCTAGATGTGGGGAGACGCCTAGTAGGTCACTTTCTTCAGGTTTTCGCTTATATCAGGAAAACTATCCATCGCATCGACCAAAACATTGCAAAATTAAAGCTGATAAAATTGACAATATGATTGTCTATTTAACTTTTTTCGATATCTTGTTTAGTTTCCGAGATATCCGTCGTCAATTATGGATAATTTTGAAAAAAAAAAAACTTTGCCACCAGTGTATCGCTGTTTTTCGAGTTTTCGCTTATATCAGGGAAACTATCAATCGCATCGACAAAATTAATTCTGATAAAATTTGCAATATTTTGAATATATTCTTTTTATCGCTATCTCGCTTAGTTTTCGAGATATCCGTCCTCAGCTATCGCTAATGCGGAAAAACCTCATGTTTTTTTACTGTATTTAACTAATTTTGTTTGCTTCGTTTTATGATTAAGTCGTGGCGAAGAAAGTTTATTGAATTTTCTTCAAGAATATATATTATTTTACTAGTTTATCTCCAACGGTTCAAAAGTAAGATGAGTTATAACTTTATATGTCGATTCCGAGCATTTGCAGAAAAAAATAATTTTTATAATGAACGTTATTGTATTTATGTATATGTATATACACACATAGAGATTTAGATATATAGAGAGCTAGAGCAATATAATAATAAAGAATATTATCAAAATTATCATTTTCTGCAAATTCTCGGAATTGACATAGCAGAGCGATAGCTGAGGACTGACATCTCGGAAACTAAGCTAGATAGCGAAAAAACGTATATAATCAATCATATTACAAATTTTATCAGATTTAATTTTATATAGAACGTCTTTGTGGATGGGATGGATAGTTTTCCTGATATAAGCGAAAACTCGAAAAACATTAATAAACACGAGGCAAATTGTTTTTTCTTCAAAATTATCCATAGTTGAGGAGGATATCACGGAAACTAAGCTAGATAGCGAAAAAACGTATATAATCAATCATATTGCAAATTTTATCAGCTTTAATTTTATATAGAACGTCTTTGTGGATGGGATGGATAGTTTTCCTGATATAAGCGAAAACTCGAAAAACATTAATAAAAACGAGGCAATTTGTTTTTTCTTCAAAATTGTCCACAGTTGAGGACGGATATCTCGGAAACTAAGCTAGATAGCGAAAAAAGGTATATAATCAATCATATTGCAAATTTTATCAGCTTTAATTTTATATAGAACGTCTTTGTGGATGGGATGGATAGTTTTCCTGATATAAGAGAAAACTCGAAAAACGTTAATAAAAACGAGGCAATTTGTTTTTTCTTCAAAATTTTCCACAGTTGAGGACGGATATCTCGGAAACTAAGCTAGATAGCGAAAAAAGGTATATAATCAATCATATTGCAAATTTTATCAGGTTTAATTTTATATAGAACGTCTTTGTGGATGGGATGGATAGTTTTCCTGATATAAGCGAAAACTCGAAAAACATTAATAAAACGAGGCAATTTGTTTTTTCTTCAAAATTATCCATTGTCGAGGACGGATATTACGGAAACTAAGCTAGATAGCGAAAAAAGGTATAAAATCAATCATGTTGCAAATTTTATCAGCTTTAATTTTATATAGAACGTCTTTGTGGATGGGATGGATAGTTTTCCTGATATAAGCGAAAACTCGAAAAACATTAATAAACACGAGGCAAATTCATTTTTCTTCCAAATTATCCAGAGTTGAGGACGGATATCACGGAAACTAAGCGATATAGCGAAAAAAGATACATAATCAATTATGTTGCAAATTTTATCAGCTTTAATTTTATATAGAACGTCTTTGTGGATGGGATGGATAGTTTTCCTGATATAAGCGAAAACTCGAAAAACATTAATAAAAACGAGGCAATTTGTTTTTTCTTCAAAATTGTCCACAGTTGAGGACGGATATCTCGGAAACTAAGCTAGATAGCGAAAAAAGGTATAAAATCAATCATGTTGCAAATTTTATCAGCTTTAATTTTGTAAAGAACGTGTTTGTCGATGCGATGGATAGTTTTTCTGATATAAGCGAAAACCCGAAAAAAGTGACCCATATCTCACCACCTAGGAGTTGGGACTTTTACTATGTTTACCTCCTTCCTAGATCTAACAATGTCCCAAAGTCTAACATTGTGTCGCCGCCATTTCCTTCTATAATCATTAATTGACTGGATTAAAGAGAAATTTAAATAAAAGTTAGGCGTAGCGTCTATTAGTTTATTGAGATAATTGTTTCCCATTGTTTGTGAAATGTCTAAACGCACCTTAATTTGTGAATACTTATTTACTCAAAGTTAAAAAAAAAAAAAAAAAAAAAATCTATAAACATTAATTTTTTTTCTACTGCTGTCTTCTACTGATATGGATATTTTTTTCTAAACTTAGCATAAACAAAAATTCTCCTTCGCCTTTTGCTTTAAACTCTAACAAGTATTATTAATAGATATTTTATGATAAAACCGTGGATCAATTTGTGTTTGTAAGAGTTTAGTTTTAATCTTTCAATAGGCTTTGGTGTTTTATTTCCTTATTGAGTTATTCTTTCTACATTCTTTCACAACTATAGACATTGCTTACTTAAAAATAAATTAGATGGAATAATACTAAAATAATAGTATTAAAACACGTATATATATATATATATATACAAAAAAGAAACTTAACGTTAAAATAATCAAAATAACAACTTATATATAATATTTGCGAACATTCATACAAGAGAACTCCGAGAGAAGCTTTTCCCCCACCTGTGCAGGACTTCAGGAGATTCCAGCGCGTCTCTCTCAGCCGCGTTACTGGTATTAATAGCCAGTGGATGCTGAATAAAGGCTCTATATTTATGTTATTAGTAACCACTGAATAAACTTCAGGTTAACCAACATTGTTATAAATTATGATATATACATGAATTTCATGCCGAAATTAAAAAAAAAAATTTTTTAGATTTTTCGACGGTATTTAATTGACCAACAGCATTTGTTCCCAAGTAACTAAAAATGTCTTTCGAATTTTCAATTTTGAATGTTATGTTTTATTTTTAGCAGGACTAAATATGGCTAACGAATAGAAACACTCGATGAAGGAAGTACTTGAGCTTCAAGTATGGTCTTGTTGATTTAGCGGTATCATGATAATATTAATCTTTGAATATTCTGGGCATATTTTTAATTTTACAGACCTAAAGAAAATTTTTAATATGAGTTTCATCATTCCTCAAAATAGAATGAGAATTAATTTTTTTAGTTGGAATATTTGTTGTTATTAATTGGAGTTGAAGAGGAGGCAATTCAGTGAGTAAGATATTGTCTATAGGAAGACATAGGAGCTTTGGGTCCTATCTTCGAGTCCGGTTGTGGTAGGTAATTATTTATTATGTTACTTCAGTCATGGATTGACCTTATGGTCAAGGGACGCACCCTGCCTCTATAAAGTAGGTACTCTTAATTTAAGAATTAATTAAGGGGGAAACCTTTGGGTAGTGCGTGATCAACTCGTGTCAAATCACCTCCTTGCACAACCTTTGACGAAAAAACAATAGTAATCCATAATATTAGGTTTGGCTCTGTTTATTTCACCATCTTTATTTTTCATTGGCAACGTTTCGGCTGAGACGTCATTTTCAATCCATTTAGGTTCACTATGTTATCTACAATATCAACATACCTCAACGGTTGAGAAAAAGGGAGGTAGGGAAGAACGTTCTATTGTACTATTCAAAGCAGGACATTTACGTGTCCCACGGCAAACCATGGTACAAGGTAGGCCAGACACAGCATTTGGCTTAATTTCGTCGTAATTAGCCTTTTATTAAAACTGGATAGTCAGAGAATAACAAAACATGGAACAATATTAAAAAATAATTGGCTTAGGCCATAAAAAAAACACCAGTAAAGTCAACTTTTTAAAAAGAAAAAAAATCAAGTTGCAAATCGAGCGTCGTTTGTAATTAAACAGCCAACAATGACGGAAAACGTCCTCATATAAAACATCTGGAGAATATATTTCTCTTTCCAAAACAATGATAACTTTTAAAAATATTTCAAGCAGCTTTGTAGGAATGGACTTAATCGGCGGAAAAGCGGTACTGGCGTAGGTGCCTACAGTACTCTGCCACATCATTCAGTACCCATAAATGGCATAGTTATAGTGCTATAATAACGTTTATGCTACATTATATTGATTGTATTAACGAACAAATATTAATGCAATAATTTAATTGTCCAAAAAATTTAACAATTTTTTTTTTATAACTTCCCAGTACCGCTTTTCCACCGATTAAGTGCATTTTCTACAAAACCGCTTCAAATATTTTAAAAAGTTTTAAATGTTTTAGAAAGAGAAATATATTCTCCAGATGTTTTATTTCGGGACGTTTTTCGTTATTGTTGGCCGTTTAATTACAAACGACGCTTGATTTTCAACTTGAAAATGTTTTTTTTTTAACGTTGTCTTTATTGGTGTTTTTTATTGCCTAAGCCAATTATTTTTTAATATTGTTTCAGATTTTATTATTTTCTAGCTATGCGGCTTTAATGAAAGGGCAATCATGACGAAATTATGCCCAATGATGATTCTCAGTGACCAAAAAACTAACTCAACTCAAAGTCGCCAGTCAGCCATCTTTGGAAGCCATTTTGGGGCAGTGGATTAACATTTTTCATTGAATAGTTACAAGTAATACAACGATATGCAATTTATAAGGATGTGGGGGGACGAGAAAGTGTGCGCGGTAGGGGGGTTTGGTCCACAGACTATGGAGGTCCCTCGACAAATTACCAAAAAGATAGACGTTTGGTAACGTTAGTTATCCTGACCGTAAAAAATCTATTCTTACAAAAGTGAGATATTCAAATTAAAATATAACTGTGTTTTTTCAATATCATTTTCAATACCTCAATGGTGAATTCGGTTTCTAAAGTTTGCCAACCACTGAGTTTGAATATGTTATAGTTAAATAAATTACGGGGAAGAATTCTAACGTGTTAAATACTAAATGGGAGACGGGAAAAATCACTTTGGTCGGGATAGTTAGGTGATTAAAAACAATTTCATTTGGGAGAAAGGTTCAACCCGAAAGGTACCCTTAAATCCGCGATTAATGGTGGTTATCTCGTACTAAGATTTATTTATTGATTCAGCTTTACTCACCATAGATCTTGAATAAGCAGATGCCTGCCCTTTCTTCTTTTCAATCTTTTGGAGTTTGAGTTGAGGAATGTAACGAGACCTATACAGTTCAATTTTATTTTCTTTGTGTCACGCACAGTGGTTTTTTTTCAGAAAAAAAAAATGGTATAACGCTATCTAAGTCCGCGATTACTTTTTCTCATAGTACTCTCTAGGTTATGTCTAAACCTTCACTTCACACATTTTTTATGAACACACGTAATATGTGGTTACACTTAGTTCGTGATGAAATATTTTTATTTTTGTACAGAGGTACACTAGCGAATCCAGGATTTAATTTTGGGGGGGGCTTCAGCCCGAAACCTTTTTTTTTCATAAAAATAACGATAATTACTTTGGAAAAACAAAAAGAAACTAGCTACCTATATGAAATGGTGTTTAATTTACTCCTTAAGTACTTTTAAATGTAATTACACGAACAATAATACTTTAAGAGGTATTTTTTAAATTTTTTTTCCCATAAAACATGGTTATATTTTTCCATTTTGGGGGGGGAGCTTCAGCCCGAAAGCTCCCCCTCCCCCGTAGATCCACCCGTGCAGAGGTAATTAAAAATAGATAGCCCCAAATGGTTATTCAGATTGACCATTAATTCTTCTCGTCGGTTTCAGAAGGCTTATATACTTTTCTAGCCTCAGGAACAAGTCGGTTACTATTGTCCTGGTTCTCGTGTATGATTCTCTGTCATAGATGTATATCCCTCATCCCTTATCCATAATAGGATCAGTGCCTTATTCTCGATAATAGTAGATCTATTGAAAGTTTTAATGTCTGTTTCAGCTTGCTGAGAGAGGGAGCTAATCCCAACACAAGATGCCAGTGCAGCCTGATGAGCGTTTGCCACCTGGCGGTGTACTATGGACAGAACGACATCCTGGAAGCGCTGCTGAGATCTGGCGCAGACCCGACGGCCAGGGACACGGAGGGGCTACAACCTCATCACATGGCTGCCATCAAGTACACCTTCATGTCATCGGTCCAATGCCTCAAAACCATTTTCAAAGAACACCCATCCTTGATAGATTCTGTGGTTGAAAAAATAGATTTGAAAGTTCCTAAAGATCAGCAGGACTCTTTTGTTCATGATCATAAAGAAATCTCCAAATTGGTAATATATAATATGATTTATGAAATACATAAATGCATACACACATACATACATGCATGCATGCATACATATATACATACGAGAGAGCGAGGCAGTGACAGTTAGAGTTAGAAAATGTAATACTAATTATAAATGATAACGTATACAAGAATGCAACTTAATGTATATGATAAAAACCAGTTCAATGAATGTATAAATTATAAAAATGTGAAATTCCATAGTCTGAATCTCAATTTAGGTATTTTTTTTAGTTGGTAAATGAACAAAGGCTTTCAATTTTAAATTTTGGAAATTGTTTAAGCAATACGTGACTCTGAAAGTTGAAAAGGTTGAAAAGCTTGCCTTCCCACTTCGATTGAAACAGATATTTCGATGTCTGGCAGTTTTCCAAAGCTGTATTTTATGTTAACTTCATTTTTATAACAAAAGTTTTTTACATATGGAATGGAATGGAAACATCGTTGTATTAATTGAATATCTCCAAATGAAAAAAATAGTTTTTACTATCACTCCGCACACAAATGGATAGAAAACTCCTCAATTAATTTATTATTGCTTATAATGTTTTGATCTATTTTTTTTTATTAAAGTGACATTAATATTGTTATATTTTAATGAGAAAAAATGGATTTTTTTTTTCAATTCAAATCGAGGTTTACTTTTTAAAATATGGTGATAGTATTTTTTGGAACATACCAATAGAAATCCTCATGTCTTTTAAATAGCAATAAACAGCTGACTAGTCAACGTTCCGGTGATTCTAGTATTAACATCATAGCAAAACAAAATATAAATGAATGATCACATAAATGATGGCCAGTGATTCATGTGATGTACTCGAGTATAATTATGTTCTACACATGTATATAAATTATTGACAGATTCTTATAAAAAGACATTCTGTAAAATTAAATAACTTTAAATAATTTGATCAATCATGTAACTATTTTTGCTATATAGTATTTCCAACTCATATTCAACTTTTTCTAAGTCAAATCATATTTTTCCACTGCAAATTTAAATTTCCATTTATTTTAACCTTTCGTAATTTTTCGATATATTCGTCCCTTACATCGAAAAGTTCAGAAAAGTTAAAACAAATCAAAAGTCGAATTTAAAATTTAAAAAGTTGAATTCGTTTTAAGTTGTTTTATAAATAATTATATTTTACTCGGATGAGATTGAATTTGATTTGGAAAAATTGGAAATGTCATTTTAATCCATTTAATTTTTTTATGCATACATAAATGATCTATGCATAAACGTTGAAATGTACTTTATTTTAGCTCCATCAAAAATGTACTTGATAAGGAGTAGGAAGGGGGTGCGGTCAAATAAATACTAAATTTAAAAAAAAAATAGTATTTTTAATTATTACGCCGACGTTTCGACCCACCTTGCAGGTCTTCATCAGGGCTACAAAAGATACTTAATGTACTTATAAATTAAGATAAAAATGTACTTGGTTTAAGTATATTATACGTTTGTAATAAAGCAACAATATGTGATATGTTTTTATGTGTCACGTTGTTGTCAGAACTCATGAAAAGTTTTATTACTTTCTGCTGAGACACAAATATTTTCTGTCTAGTTCTTTTTCTCTCATTTTCTGTTACTTTTATAATATTCATAGTAAAATCATTAATTCGTGAAAGCTCGTCTCTTATATCTAAAATATTTCACTGGCATTAATCGATTTTGCTTGTATTATTATTACCTTACCAACGATTATTTTCGTTTGCAGGTTCCCAAAAATATTATTGAAGGAAGCACTTTACTTTTCCTGGCTGCTAAATATGGCCTCAATGCAATTGTCGAATTGCTTTTGGAACACAACGCCAACGTGAACATAGCGACGAAAGAAAACCTCACAGCTCTTGATGTCACCGGACTCGAAGAAATCAAAGTGTCAGGATGCTCAGTAGTAACTAACGAACCAATAGAAAGAGGTGCATCTGACACTATAATTCAGAAATTACTAAACTGGAGGTCTAAGCCCACGAGAAACGCTATTTACAATGCCGTGGAAACTGGACGTGTTAAGTTGCTGACAGAATATATGAAAATTGTCTCTTCTGAAATAATAGAGGAGGAGAAACCTGCCTTAATCTTTTTAGCGATTAAGAATAATATGAAAAATGACAGAAACAAAATGAATTACAATGAAATGCTGGCAATACTCATCGAAAATGATCCCAGTGCTATAAACAATCAGGACGACGATGGGAAAACTCCTCTTTTCTTAGCAGTAGAAGAACAGTGGATGGAAGATGTTGAATTGCTGTTACAGAACAATGCCGATGTCACTATCCCATCCTACAATTTTAAGACTGTCTTTCATCTAGCAGCGGAACAAGGAAATAGCGAGTTGCTCAACGTCTTCATAGGGAGTCTTAAAAGAGAGGTATTGTCTGTTTAGTATTTTTAATATTTCCTCTATCATTTGTTAATTATAATAAACTAATTAGTATTATAGAATAGTATTATACTAGAGACCGGATTTTCACGATATTGCACATTTTATTCGCTTGTGTCTAGAAACTCCGGAACCTATAATATCTATCCATTTCAGGATCTGTAGAACAACATATTTAAATTTTGTATTGCACGAAATTGCAAGTTTTCGGATAAAATTGCACGATTTTGATTTTTGTTACGTTAAATTGCACATTCGTGATAAATTAGTTGATTTATAAATACCAAGTATATGAGTGTATTAATATTTACCTTATTTATTTTACTATATTGTTAAAATTAAATTCATTACTTTTACCTCATAAAAAAATATGAGGAAGGTGAATAATTCTGTAACAAGGAAAAGTCGAATTTCCCATTACAAAAAGAAGAAGTAAATACAATTGAAAAATATTCTTGAAATAGAACTTGCCAAAAGTATAGGATAACAAAAAGCTGTTTTGTTAGTAAGAAATTTATTATTATTGTTTTGAATTGAATTCTGACTCATTCGTTTATCCCTTCAGGATTTGAATTGATTTGTAGCAACTCTATCTAGTTTCTTAAACATTGTTTAAATTTTAATAAAAATTTATGAGCTCTATATTAGAAATTTAACTCGTTTAAAAAATAAAATTTCATTATTATTTTTAATAAAAGGTAAATATCTAAAATAGGTCTGTTCTATATAGGTACCTATAATTTCTCCCTTCATACATTTCTTCAAACCTTCATTGTTCTACATTATCTCATTCTTTGTATGTCATACAATAGACCAAATAACCAATTTAAGGACAATTTAAACAAATATATCCACTTATTCGTGTGTTAATTATTATGACCTCGTAGGGAGAAAAATTAACTTTTCATCCGTTTTATCCATGTGTTTCGGTTTTTATCTTGAAATTTTTGTTGTTAAATGATAGTCAATGTTAGATTTATGTATTTCTTATTATTGTTTAAATTCCTCTTTCTTTAAGGTTTAGGTTAATTGTAATTTATTTTTGTGTTTCATCATATATTGTTGTCGTTTGTCGATTACATTACGGAATTTCACTTTCCATGTTACATTTTAATATTTTTTTATTTATCTTTTATGTCTAGTTAACTCAAGTTCTGATAAAATTTCGACCTATTAATAACAATATTGATAAATATTGTCAATATTGTTTAATAACATTATTTATAACAATTATTTAATAACAATTTCAACAAATTAAACAATATTGATGATTTTGTATGTTACTAGGTGTTAATTACACAATTGTACTTATTTTGGGTATTTACTCCACGATTTTGCTCATTTTCAGGTTTTTCGGATTTTTCTTGCACGATAATCCGGTCTTTAGTTATAACATATATCGAAATTGCCAACGAAAATAAAAAATCAAAAATAATTTATAAATCCATCAAATTTTGGTTTTCATTAGTTACCATTAACCGTTTTATTGATGGCGTCTCCTTCATTCCTAAGTAAGGAAATTAATCTTTATTATCATATTTTCAACCATATCTTTCCTGATAGGCTAAATAGGTGTTAGTAATAAAATGATGTATATTATTATTATATAATAATTGAGTTTTTAATGGCTGCATAACGGCACAGTGCTGCTAGTAAAACAATTGGAAACTACGATTTTTCTTGAGCTGTGCATTCACTTTGCAATAGTTCTGGTCACCATCTTCTTCAACCCCTCTCCTCTTCAGCGTCCTTTCCGATGCAGCATCTTCTTAACTCACTAGGAAGAAGAGGCTTGGGCACACAATATCTTGTCACTTACTCATCAATCACTGTCAAAACTTAGAGACCTGTTTCTCTCAGTAATATGACTATCACTGCCACATAGACAGTACAGACGACAGTGTGCAGGGGTGGCCACTGGCATTCACTAGTACGGCGCAACTGTGTCAAAGGAAATCGATTTTATTCTGCATGTTGAAAGAGTTATGCTCGGAAGCTCTATGTTCTGTGATTTGTAGGAAGACCCAAAAATCATATACTACTGAAGTCGTTACTAACGATAGTGGGGAAACATTTTTTCAGCGTTTTGGATGGTTGTTAACCACTCCCCTCATTCGCTCTCCCGATCCCAATAGTCAACAGTGTATACTCCTTGGAGATAGTAAATGATTGATAAAAAAAAAAGAGGATTTTTTTTCCTCTTCACCTTAACTGATGTTTCATCACTTTGATCCTTGCTTTTGGTAGCTTTTACACCTTCTATTAATCAGAATATATAACATATTATCTGAAATAGCGGGTACGTTTACTTTGTTATCTTCTTAATTCTCTCCTTTTTATTTATTTATTAAAAATAGTTTTCTATTATTTCAGCTTTGTCTGTTTAGAAAATAGTATTAACACTTTGTTTTTGTTTCAGGTTGATTGGAAATTGATTTTTTTTTCATTTGTTTTGCAGGTTGTCGATGATACAATTAACCAAATGGACAATGAAGGATACACCCCTCTTTTCAGAGCTGTTGAGGGAAATCACCATTTATGCGTCGAAATGTTACTAAAATATTCTGTTACGGTCCGGCACTTGAACTGCCATGGGACATTAAAAGGTACGCTCCTTCATTCGGCAGTCAATGCCAAGGCCAACCAAGACACGACCACATTAAAAAAGATTATAGTTTTCATGGTTACTAATAACAACTTGGATTACCTCAACGAGCGAAACTCGGAAGGTCTCACTGCTCTCGAATTGGCTGCCTCCCTTGGCTACCGGAATTGTTTAGAATTTCTTCTTTCTTACTGTAAGTGTATCAAAGATTATTTCCTCCAGTCTATTGTTAATGAAAAAGACATCTTACTACATCTAGCTGCTAAAGGAGGACATTACAGAACTATTGAGTACCTGCTGGACACCTATCCTATTCTCGTCAACATAGAAGAGGACAGAAAACGTTCAGCTCTTGTACTTGCGGCTCTTGGGGGACATGAGAAATCCGTGACGATGTTACTGAAGAGAGGAGCCAGTCTCACCGACTGTGATAGCACTCTCAACCGTTCTGCGATCGACATCATCATGAACTATATTCCTCACCCGGTCCAAATGATAGAGCACTTGCTAGACAGCTTCACTGGGACGAAGAAACTAAGACACCAACAGGCAAATTTCGCAAACGCTTCCACTGTTTCGATTGACCACCTCGACTTAGAAGATAACGATTTCTATACAACACTCTTGGATAAGAGTAAAAACGCAGGTAGAAACCAGCCGGACAACGTGAACTTCGAAGTGCTACTCGATTATTCAATGCTGGTAGCAGGGCAGAGAGAGATGGAAGTGATCGAAGCAGTCAGCGAATGCCAATTCGAACACCTGAAGCAACAATTCTTCTTGCACCCGTTGGTGAGGAGCTTCCTCACCCATAAATGGATGCAAGTAGACTTCACATTTACAGTCTTATCTTTTATATACATAGCGCACATTTGCTCAGTTACTGGATTGGCTCTGTCTTTTCGCAATCACCTCTTTTCCCTAGCTGCCTGGATTTGTCGGTTTGGAATTTGGGCAACCATAATACCTGTTATATGTATGGTAAGATTATAGTTTTTTTTATATGTTTTAATATTTTTGTCTTCAGGAAGGGCCATTGCGTGGCTAGGAACCCTAGGAAAACCGAATATAAGGCTTTGCAAAGTATGAAAGATATATAAAGATATTACATAATAAATGCTATTTTATCGATACTTTATTTTAATGTGTATTCAGAAGTTAAAAAAAAAACTTTGTAGGCCTGGTGAAGCCCCCTTCAGAACCTGATTCACGAGGCATCAACCTCTACCCTCCCCTCTCCCCGCCCCTATTTGGCCCTGTCTTAATTAGTTACATCTATTTCTATATTAAAATCTATTTCTCATAAATTAAATAAATAAAGAATAACATCCAAATCATACATCTCTTCTTACATCATACACTCCTAAAACGTTTGCAAGTTGGTTTTGTCTATCTTTTTTTCTGGAGGAAAGCCAACTGACTCTTATAGGTGAACTAACCCAACACAGTTGTACTCTCTTCCAGTCATGTTCCTTAGCAGGGGTGTCTGTACTTTTCTCTAGTCTCCCGGCTTGAAACTTTTCAATCCGAAAATTTATAACCCCACCGAAATGTGCACCCCTCGAAAATTCAAAACCCCGTCAAAATGTGACCCACAAAAATTGTTATGGCACAACTTGTGCCATGGAACCCCCTTGTAGACATCCCTGTTCTTAGTTAATTTTAGTTTATTGTTAACTATAAACATTTTGGCCTTAAAAAAAACAATTAACATACCTGATGCTGAGAAATGTAAGTTTTTCTTATATAGCAAAAGATGCAATATTAACTTATATATGATAATTTTATTTTATTTTTACAATCGATCAATAATGGATTAAGACCACAAATGTATTTTACAAAAAATGAAAAATCTTTTTAACGAGAAAAAAAATTATTTGATTGTTTAATGTTTCGACTTTGATTGCCCCTTTTCAAAAATCCAAAATAAAAATCAATAACCAAATTATATTAAAATACTAAAGAATACATTTTTTTTTTTTTTTTTATTGAAATCCAGATATATGCACACGTGTTATAATGTGAGGTGTAATAAGATTACATATTTTTTTTTAGGAAATAATTTGTTGGATGCTGAAGGGAAAAATATATTCTGAGGCCGAAATTTACACAAAATGGTTTTCGATTGCCACAGCTGCTGCCTTGAGTTTGGCCCCTGAAATGTGGTGGGGTCCTTACCTAGCTTCGGCGACCGTTCTTCTGGTTTGGGTGGAACTTCTCCTCTTCTACGCCATGAGCCCGACCTGGGGTCTCTACATCCTCATGTTCTTTGAAGTCGTAAAGAACGTATTCCAGGTGTGTACTTCAAGACATTATGACTTTCAAGGGGAGGCTACGGACGTCGGTTGATGATTTCAAAGAAACTTACTTTGGTGATACTAGGTTGAAAATAAATTTCACGCATGTCCGAGGAGTCAAGCCTGTTTCGGTGCCAGAATTTTTTGTTTTTATTAAATTTAACATCTTTTTATTTCATTGTATTCTGCCTTTACTATACATGGATTTTTTATTATAATAAAGTAATCAATGTTTTATTTTTTTTTGTAAAAAAAGAAAAACGTATTGCTCTTGGAATTGGATGAATTTATATGTATAATGAATTACAAACAAAAAACGACTCTGACAGTAAAGTAGTTCAAATAATTGTTTATCAAGAAAAATCGATTCAGATTCAGTTTTAACGATGTAAACTCTGTACACTATTAAAACTCTTAAATACTAATTTGTTTTGCAATATAAATTATAAATTCTTGGTCTTGATTTTACCGAAGGTCTTTTTTCTTGTCGCTTACTAAACTCCTCAGGATTTTCTTCAAATTTAGTGTTACTACAACCGATGGAAAGCTGCATTATTGTTCTTCCAAACCAACCCGTATACCCGTCCGCTATAGAAAAAAAAATTGGCTAAAGTATGAGTACAATATAGAAACGAATCGTACAGACCGAAGGAGCAAAGTAAGGAAAACGAAGGAAAAAAAGTTGAGATTTGTGTTTCGCATCTCGGAAAACCCTAAAATAAAAATGTGTGCAACAATCCAAATATAAAAATTTTTCTATCAAAATTTTCGCATTTGATTTTTTTTATCACGGAATCTCGCGAAATATTGCTGGGAATAGGACTCTGTAAACTAAACGAAATGACACCAACTAGACCTCCGTAAAGCAATTTGAACTGGAGATATAAAACAAAAATCTTAGGGTAGTTTTTTTTTAATTTATTCCTTAATTTATTATTTATTATTATTATTAATTTAATCCTTACTAGTAGGCTCGTGCGAAAAACTCGCACAGTATATTATTAAGTGATCAAATGACAAATTAATGAGAAAATAAAATAATGCAATGCATCATAAGATAGAGAAATCAATTGTTACTTTCACGCTAAATATAATCGAAAAAGGAAACACAAATTAATTTAAAAACTTCATTAATGTTTGGATGATGATGATGATGTAATAAGAAATTGAAATCGGTAAGGACCAAGGCATACAGGTTCAACCATCTGTTGACTTCCCTAACTTATTACTCCGCCTCATATTAACAACATACAAGAGCATTTTAAGACCGGCACTTCTTTATGGAGCACCACTCCTAACTAACATTTCACCGGCAATATCGAAAAAGCTCCAACAGTTTCAGAACGGTGTGCTAAGAAAAATAGTGAGACACACGACTTTACAAAAAACACGTACGGACCTACTAAATACCACCCTCGAATTACCGAAGGTGGGCGACTTAATTACACGCAGGCATATCAAATTTTTTGATAGCGTCAAATACTCGACAAACCCACTTTTTGAAACACTTACTCCACCTACTCACAAACCTATGAGATGGCAGACATATATTAAAAACCTATTACTAGACTGAAAAATTGACATTTACAGGACACTAGTGAGCCCCGTCAATAGACTAAGACGAACCATAACTATGAATTACCACAGAACTCCCAATTCCCCACCCTCCTCTTAAAATGCACTCTGTGCAGTACAAGGGTTCATGTTCAACCCTCTTACTACCACTCTGTTCTCAACATCACGTCATATGGGGATAAGAAAAAAAAAAAATTAATGTTTGGAACCAACATGTTTAGAATGTTCAGTAAGCTGTATTTTTTGCTAATAACTGTCCAATTTCGATGACTTATTTTTCCTTTTATAGCGAATTTAGTAATCTTTATATAATCATGGACATAACCTAGGGCAAAGTGTGTAATTTTTGAGTTATTCCCCAATAAAGTTTCTTTTCTTTCATCACTTTTTTGCCTGAATTTTCGGGGTGATTGAATTATTATTTGAAGGAGAAGGAAACCTTCAAAATTGGTGGCTCTATTTTGGGATTTGATGAAGAATTAGAGACAAAAAAAAAACACCTTTGATAAACAATATAAACAAATCTCTAGATCATTGGGACGTCAAGTCGACGATATGAGACATGTATTCCATGACAGTACTACAATTAACATATAGTTTTGTGGATGCGAACCCTTGCCCTGCATTATCTCGAAAATAGTACGTTTTTCAGCTTAAGAACGCAGGGCCCGATAGTTCCGAAGAAACTATCTGGGTCTTGGTGTACGAATCAAGATATTCAAAACCCAATTTGTCCCATATCGATCTACACACTTATCACCGTTCCACTTTATTTATTTTAGAATGAAGAACAATAACGGAAAGTGCGATTCGCTAACCCTCTCTGAAGTTCTGAATCCAACGGTACCCCATTCGTGATAATTGGGCATGACAGGAGCTTATATCTGGTACAAAACAACAAAACCGATTGAGCCTTACTATAACAATATATGTGGGGATAAAGACATAAAATCGTAAAGTTATTGATGTGGTTTTGAAGAGCAATAATTTAGCTTTCCAAGGGTCATAGTAACGTTGAAAGAGAAAACGTGAGGAATTATCAATGCTTCAGTAAAAGACATGAAATAAAATCGTGTAACCTTTTTTTTCTTGACTCCTTGTTTGCATTGAAAAGAATCCTTGGTTATGGGTCTAATATTTTTCGATTTGGTATTACCAAAAAGTGTCATTGAACTGAATGACATCACATCCCTAGCCTCTCTAAATTGTTTGTTGTTGCTAGTTTATTATCTTCATAGATACTATTTCAATTTATGACAAAATTGTTCATAATCATTATTCATTCCACTTCTTAGTTAGCTCTTGATCAGCCATCATTTCTTTTTATACTTTTGCTTATGGTAGTTTAAATTTTTTAAATAGAATCTGCCTAATTAAAGCGTCAAAATCATGAAATATTATTCAGATGCTTTCCTGGTTTCAAATTTAACTAATGTATAACTTAAAAATGATTAATTACAATTGGGTTACTTCTGTTTACTTTAGTTTAAAATTTATTTTCTTCCTACATAACACAAGATTTTTATGAAAACAAATAGAAAACTTTAGGTGATTTTTTTTCATCATTGATGAAGAAAATTTCTAATTTTAATCCAAACTTATGAGTAAACTATATTTTTATCTCATCTTCTTATATCATTATTTTAATTCATTAGAGTATTGAAGTACACCACTGTTTTATGATATTCAATGGATTGAACGTTAATAAGGTCATGAATTTTTGAACTTATTGTTTAACATAAAATTTAAATATTTTTATTAATAGGTGCATAATAGAAATTAGGTTTCTATATTTTTAACTCTATGTTTAACATTTACTGGGTTTAGTTATGGTTAGTATTGTTAATTTTGCATTACCCATACTATGCCAATAAAGTTTCATCCCCTTTCTATTTATTAGAAAATATTTTTTAGGTTTCCTAACTTTGCCAATTGGATATCTATTTTAACCAATATAAATTACAGTATATTATCTAGTATTAATGTTCATTCTGTATTAATGTTGATATAAATTATCTAGTATTAATGTTCAGTTTGTCTGAACTGAACATTAATACTATAACCTTAATATCTGACATTCTAATAATATAATAATTATTATTTCAGGTTATTTCATCGTTTATATTTTTATTGGTTGGTTTCGCTTTATCTTTCTTTATACTTTTTAATGGACGCCACCCTTTTTCTGATATATGGAATTCATTGAGTGAAGTTTTTGCCATGATGCTTGAATTGGGATACAATGATATGTTTGACGGAGAGTACACTGAAAATGAACCGTTAAAAATCTTTGGACGCGTCATGTACCTTGGATTCATGCTTCTAGTTATAATGGTACTGACGAACATCATCCTTGGAATGTCTGTTAGTGATGTGACCCACCTGGAAGGTAAGTCCAAGCACCTCGCCAAACAGGGCTCCTTCCTCAGCCTCATGGATAAGTTTTGGTACAACGATAGGCTACGTTCCTTGCTCCCGAATGTGCTTCTGAAGCAAATCAAAAAGTGTTTTCATCCTAAACTCAAAGGCTTTACCATTCATCCCAACAGATCTTCACCTGAACTGAAAGAGGAACTAGTTTATGAAATCATGACAATCATTTCAGGCAAAAGAAATAAATCAGTGGATTTACATAGCCTATCAAAATCAATCCAGCACGTTAACAAAAAGATCGATCATGTTTCTCAAGAAGTTGAAGCTATCCATAAAATTATAAAATTTTAACCATAAAAGTTCTCCAATTATGGTTGGTCCCGCCAGAAGATAGGTCAATGATATCTCAATTAGAGGAGACCTAAAAGTTAAAAAAATACTCGTTTAAAAAAGTGAAACAAAAAAATAACAAAAACATTTATATTCTTATGTAAGATGTTGGTTGATATTTCAAAATGTGCCTTGATTTACGATATGACTATCCCACAAGATATTTTCTTGTTTGGTGTAAATTAAAAATCTGAGGTTTAATGTATGAAAGGAAATTAAAATTATTTTCTATAAATTTGGTTTATTATTTCTTTATTTTTTGTTCTTAATATTAAGACCAGAAAATAGTTTTTACATATATATATTGTTTAATAATTAAAAATTATTAAATTAATGTCAAATTTAGGCACGTTTGTGTATCTATGATATTCATTAATATTTATATTTTCCAATATAAAATGATTTTTTTTTTCTACCTTACTCATCCACGTAACAATGTAACATAAAACTATTTGATAATTTTATATGCTCAAAATTTCATGAAAGGTAAAATCAAATCTACTGCAGAATCGCAAAAAAAACAAAACAAAAAAAAAAAAAAAAAAAAAAATCAGAAAGCAAAAGCAATATAAAACTAAAGCATATATAGATGTAAAACAATGGCAGCTAAGACAATTTAGCTGCCCATACTATAACTGCTACAAAAAATATTTAGCAATGACAATAACAGGAAAGAGGCAATATCAGAAGTTTAAATACAATATAGACCTCAGTAGTCACTGTCATAAAATTTTATTTCTTTTTAAAATAGAAATTAAATAAATAAATAAAAATAGAAATTAGATAAATTAATGGGATATAAAGAATTAGTTAAACATTATAAAAATAAATAGAATATTATGGTATTATGACTGAGACCATTGAAGCCTATAATGTATTTAAAATTATTTACGTAACCATCAACACTAGCGGATCCAGGATTTAATTTTTTGGGGAGAGGCTTCAGCCTGAAAGCTTTTTTTTCATATATATATATATATAATGATAATTACTATAGAAAAAAAGTAGTATGGATTAAGTAAGTACAATTCTAGGTATAATTCTATATATCAATGATGAATTTATACATTAATATATATTTGCGCAGAAAATTTGTAATTTATAGATATTGTTGAAGGAATATAAAATAAAAAAAACAATATTTTTTTATTTTATAATAAATATAATTTAATTAAATTATTGCATTAATTTCTTATAATTTATTTAAATATCTTAGTGCTATTTATGTACAGTGAGTATATATCATCAATTTATAGCAAGCATCACTAAGTTCATTTTTACCATATTTTTTTATGCAAACCACGATGCATTAAGGTGACACAAATCCTATTATATATACAAAATAGTTACAATAATGGCAAAATGTTTGGATTTCATAGAGAGAAAATTCATCAAAATACTCAGTAACTTAATTTTATGGAATGTTACTTATGTTAGTGATGTTTTGCAATAAAATCACAATATGTTATACAAAAATAAAAAAAATTAGTGGATACAGTCATTAGAAGAGAATAATCTGTAGATTATAATATTATTACACAATTAATTCTATATTATATTAACATTTAGGAGTGAGGTAGCTCACTGAGTAAGGATCAAAATTCCAATATATACTTCCCTTTAAGTTTTTTTTTTTTTTTTTTTTAACTTTTATTATATTTACCACTGTATTAGTATGAATACATCAAGTAAATGTGAACAGAGGAATATTATCACATGAAACACGCTTGCTGAGAAACTACCCATTGGTAGCACTCTATCCCTTTAAGTTAAATTCAAAATTCAAGTCAGATGATATGAAATCATTTGTCATCCTTTAAAACTAAGATGAAAGAAGGCAACAGCAAATTAATTTCTCCTATGAAAAAGATCAAGAACTTCATCTACCCTATCTCTCATCTTATCCATCTTATGTGCCATGGTTTCAGGCCTATATCGCTTAGCTTTGTTATTGACTATTTCCATAACTTCAAAGATTAATTCTTTTCCAAAGATATTGTCTGTTAAGAGTTGGTTTGGAAAGATAGTTATAGAATTAATTTTTTCTTTTTCCTTCAGTTTTTTATTGGTCCAATAATGACTAATTTTTTCTATGAGCTCCCTTAGCCATATAATGAATTTGTTAGTTTCACCGTCCCAGCAAAATTTATCTACCAGACTTAGAAATGAACCCTGCATTGCTAAATGTTTGCATTTCCCTTCATGCTCAGTTACTATATTTACAGACAAACCTACAATAAGGTTCATCATCACAATTACAACAAGAACATAAAACATAATGAATAATATATGTCCTAATATTTTTAAAATTAAATCAGTCTCCTTCCCAAACGCTTCATCATATTTTATTTCAGAAATCATTGCCATCACTGCACCTAATGATGTTAATGGATCTGGAAATGGTTTTCTTCCATTAAAAAGAATGTAGAAAGACAATGCAAATCCAAAAATTAGGAATGAAAATAAACATAAGACCTAAAAAAAAAATATATATTATCAACAGAGGGTATAGCAATAGTAACTAAATTTATTCATAATAATTATCATTAAGGCTTAATGTCACAAATATATATCTAAAGAGGAGTGCTGTAAAAAGCTGTGATATAAAACAAGCGTCCGTTAAAAAATGAAGAGTTAATCAACTTGAAGAATAACTAATTTGTAATTAGTTTATGATTTAGAAATTATAAGAAATTTATAATTAAAAACAAAATATGTCTCTAATATCACACTGTCAATTTTTTTTTTTTTGTGGTGGCAACTATTCAAGGGACAAGAAATGAACAAGTAATTTCAAATAAGAAATTTCTTAATTTTTTATCAAAGTATTGCTGATACATGTTCATTTTGTGAGTAATAAGCTATTTTTATTTTTTTTTAATTCATGCTGACAAGTTAACTCAAATATTTTCTTGAAATTAAGTAAAAATTATTTTTCCTTTGGAAGTTAACTCAGATATTATCTTGAAATTAAATGAAAATTATTTTTCCTTTGGAATAATAAAAATCTCAAAGACACCATCCCATTGCCTCTATTGTTTGTAGTCCAAGATATGAGCAGAAAGTCTACATAACCGTAATAAATTTATCTATTATAAATAAATAATGTAAGCCATGTTTAAATCATATTTCCATAATTACTTGAAAAACTTTTTGGGCGATCTTGAAAAACAAGAGAATATAGAAGCCTCCGTTACATCTCATGGAAAAAAAGAGAATCAGTTTCATCCAACTGAAAAGGACTGCCACAGATGCAAAATAGGAAATAATAAAGCTTATCTGTGGGAATATAGACATCACACTAAACAATCCAATCAAAAGGATCCCTATCCATTTGATATACGTTTCAAAGCGAGAATAGATTTTTGCATCTTGCACCCATGTTACAATTTCCTGAAAAATAGTTTGAAAATAATTATTTAAATTTATAACAATTAAATACATTAAAATTAAGAACTATATAGTTAGTATAGCTAATCAAATATATCTTAAATGGTTAAATAATGAATATTTAAAAAAAAAGGTGAATGAATATATACAGAGTATTTCAAGATTAAGTGACCAAACTGCAAAAATGAACTAAGGACCTCAAAAAAAGAAAAAATTTCCTCTGAAGGTATGTTCGCAAACGCTTTGTTTAGGTGATATTTACAACTAAAGATTTTCATTGTCATGAATTATTTACGTTATATGAAATAAATAAAACCTATTTATTTGTACTAAATACTTTATTAAGTATTTCTATTTATTTAGAAATATAATAATCTGTCACGTGGACAATAATTATAGTGAGATATGAACACATTCATACCATATATACAGAAAATAAAATTAACAAAAGTAAAATAATAACTAAACAATAAACTTTATTAATTAAATGTAAAAATTGACATTCATATTAAATGTTGTTCAAAGTGAAGATATGTCCGCAAACGCTTTGTATATGAAATGGATTAGGTAGAATACTAATATGACTTTTATCCCTAACTGTATGCCTTCCATTTATACTAATAGTGGAATATGGTGTTTGTATACAGTTTTTGTAATTGTAATGCTAATGCTCCCCGTCGTGAATATGCCAGGCAATTTCCAAATAGAAGATTACCAAACAAATCTATCTTCAGCTCCACGTTTCAACGTCTTAGAGAAACTGGTACATTTGCTATATACCACGTGCTGATGGTAGATGCCGAGCCTGTCTTAAAGCTCAAGGAAATCACTTTGAACAACATTTAACATGAATTTAAAGTTTATGTTTAATTAATAAAGTAGTTGGAACAAAAAAATAAGTTTTATTTATTTAATATAACATAAATAATTTAAAAAATGAAAATCTTTAGGTGAGAATTTCTCCTAAGCAAAGCGTTTGCGGACATACCTTCATAGGAATTTGTTTTCTTGTTTTGAGGTCCTTAATTCATATTTTCAGTTTGACCACTTAACTCTGAAACACCATGTAGAATAAATGTGAATTTTCAATTAATGTAATGGTTTATGAAAACTTTACTAATAGGTTTTTATAGCATAATGTTTTTGTGACAGAGCTTTTAAAAATCCAATTTCAATATTCTATATAGAATGACTGGAATATAGAAAGACTGGATTTTCATATAATTGTGTATTTTTTCCCCATAGAACTTATTAGAGCCTAGGGAAAATTTCAAATCTTCAAACTTATGTTCTTTTGACAATTGTTTTCATAAACAATTTATATTGTTAAAATTATTGAATAGTCATTGCTTGGAATTGAATTTCTTATGAAGAATAGAGAGAAGGTGTAAGGGTTAAATAAAGTTATTTCCTCAAAAGTATTAATTTTTTTCCTGAGAATATTTGCTGTGCTGAGGAGTAGCGCTTTCTACCCTTCTTTGAATACTATTTATAGAAATTTCAAATTCTCAACAGAGTGGATGGTATCACTGAAATGAGGCCATTACTGGAAATTACAATCATATATAGCTGTATATAATCCAGTCTGTAGAATTGCCAAAATTCTGGCACAAATCTTGATACTTTTTAATTCTTTTTGATTACGTCTTTCCAATATTATCATCATTAGGGACCTCAACATCAATGATATTGCCACTTTTTATATTCCAATCAATTAAAACTATTGTTATTATTATTACTTTAAAGTTATTGATTCTAACTGTTCAGAGTTTTTTTTAAAGAATTCCTAATGCTTTTCACATATAACATCAGGCATCACACAAACAAATTAACCTCAAATTATATTTTGAAATGAGGATTCAAAATATAAATAGGATAATTACACAATCTTCCAAACATTTTTATTCCATCATAAAAATTTGTTATTGTATGATATAAAATGTATCTGTTGCATTTTTACCATTCACTACAAGAAATACAATTATTTTTCGCCACAAAAAAGATTCTGTTTTGTCTATATTGCTGCTGACTACTTTATATTCATGGCCATGAAATCATTATCCAATGTGTTTGAAAAGTAATGAATGGTTAAATTTAAAATAAAAACATCTTCTCCTCAGACATCTGTCCAGGTCATGAGATGGCTCTTAAACTCATAATTTCTGAATTATTGAGTTGTTACTTAATTGTTTGGTCCTGTTATTGGTACCCTTTAATTAAGCTTATTTCAGTATCTCTGTACCGTTACAGCTTCATATCCAACTGCAACATCATTAGCCATGAAAGCAGTAAAAGAGTGTTTAAGCAATATCAAGCTTAACGATATAGAAATTCATTGTTCTTCATTTTTTGTGCCTGCATGTAATGCCCATTATTTTATTTGCAGTATTGCAATAAAAAATAATTAGTTACTTGAATACTAATATACTTGATATCACTTTTTTTTAATGCTTTAGGTTTTCATTGCATGAAAATTCAGTCTTAACTACTAAATTCAATCTTACACTTTACAATAATGTATAACTGTTCACAACATATCTTGATAATACTTTCAATAGAAATTTTTATTTACATTAAATAACTAAATTATAAATAAATTAAATACTCATTAATTACAACATCATATACCATTGCTTGCGTTTGAATAATGAGAAGTTATATAAATATTACAATTAAAAATCTTTATCATGTGATGAAGTATTGTATTTTTGTCATTTAAAATTTGTTTTATCATGATATATATTTTAGAAAGTTTTATTAGGATAAATTACGTAATAGGTGATTTGGATAAATTTTATTACATCAATAGAAATAATTAAAAATCAAGATGTATATTATGATATGGTATTGAATGAGTAATTAGCAGATAATACTCACCACTAAAATAATAGGAATCATCGTTAACAATATAAAAATGAAACATATAAGATAAGCAATCAAATTTAGCCATATTGTTGCACAGATCGCAAGCCCAGTCACTGAGAGAGTGTGTATCAGATACACAAAAAATAAAATTAAGTGAAGATTCTTTATCTTATTCCATTTAGATATCAGGAAAGTTTTAACTAAAGGGTGCAAAAAAAATTTTTGCTTCAGTTTATCATATTTACATTCATTTACAGCTTCAATAACTTCTAGCTGTCTTGATCCAGCAAGTAAACATTTGTATTCCAAGTTGACCTTATGGATTTTATAGTGTTCATTATAGTTACTATTTTTTATAACAGGATTCTTTACTTGGTTGTTTATTTGTTTGTTATTTTGTATAATGTTTTTAGATAAAATTGTTGTCACTTCAGTCTGCTGATTATTTGGTACACTAGAATTATTTTGTACATTCTTATCTTCAGCTGTTGGCCCATCAGTATTTATGTCAATAGCAACTTGGTTCGCAGAGGGATTTTGTTCATGGATCGTATTGTTTTCATCATTATTAATACTATTTAGAAGAGGTATTTCTTCTTGGTCAGGTATAGTTTCATTGTTTTGATTATTTTCTGTGATAATTTTTGTTGTGACTTCAACCAACTGAGTATTTTTAATTGGCACAATAAAACTATCTAATACGTCATCTATTGATTCCACAGCTGTGGGTACATTAGACATAATTATATCAACTGCTGTTCGATTAAGAGATGGGTCTTTAATAGCGAGATTAGCTCCTCTTTTCAACAGTAGTTTCACACATTTGTTATGTCCTCCACGAGCAGCATATATAAGAGCAGTGAGACAATTACTGTCTAACATATCAACGAGATCTTCACACCTGTCTAATAATTTTTCCAAACATACATAGTAACCTTTTTTGGCAGCATGGTGTAAAGCTGTATCATGATGTTTCTTTTTATCAATATTCATTGGCAAGACACTGATATCATACTTAAATAGAACATCTAAACATTTTACTTCCCCATTTTTGGCAGCTAATTCTACAGCAGTCAATCCTTCACTGCTTATTTGATTAAATATAGAAATATTTTCAGGTGAATTATTTTTCATCAAGAATTCCAATATCTTTTGTAAAATTACATCTGGATTTCTACTAGATTCGATTGCAGCATGTAAAATAGTAAGTTCTCGATCTTTTAATATTAGTTTATAATCATCTTCAGAAGCGGTTGCTAGCAAAACTTGGACACAGTCAGCACATCCTGATTTAATAGCTCTGTAGAGAGGAGTGTAACCTTCATTGTCCGTTTGTTTGAGTGCATTCTGTAAATTAAAAAAAAAAATATCAGGAATAAATAAAGTTTGTTCAGTAAAGCTAGAAATTTCTAGTATATTGAATATTAATTTATAATCTTATATTACTCAGTATGAGTTAAAAGTATGCATCACAAAACCATGAATTGAATTTATATGTATTAGATGGTATGATAGCTATAAATTTTAGAAATAGTGTAGTGGTAATTTTATTGATATAAATAATATTGATCTTATTACATTGAAAGGATACTAAAAACATGATGCGATTATTGGGGATTACATAAATATAAAATTTTCCCCCTTTTCTCCCCTAGTTTTGACAAATATTGCTGATTTTATAACTAAAAGTTATATGTTAATTAAAATAACAAATATTCCCTAATTACATTTAATTTAATTTAAAAATTTACAATATTTCTTGTAACATTTCTAATAAAAATTCAAACTAGATTGTCTGTATATTTTAAGTTTAGGATGCCTGACAAAAAAGTTGTAGTAATATACATACATTTATAAGCAAAAAAAAAAATTACTAAATTTTTTAATTACTATAGGCCACCTGTCTTGAAATTTTAAGAATTCCATTATCAAAAACCATTTTAAAAAATAAATAAATTTTGTATTCTTTATTCTTATACTATATTTACTACTGCATATATAGAAAAAGCAACATAGAAAATATGACGGTAAGCTTTTATTTTCTCCAACATATGTGATAGTGGTCTTATGTTGAATTTTTATAATTGAGCAGAAAATCTCTGACCCCCTTCTTTTAACCTGGATGAACCAGATGGCAGGAAGGAGGAAAATGACACGAGTATAATAGAAATTAAAAATTAGAACTAAATCATACTCATAAAATTAATCATATAAAAACTAAGAAAAAAAGTACTTTTAATTATCCCAAATCAATTTATTGATACTTTTTTAACAAGTTCCCATTTTTTAATTAATTTAACAGAAACATTAAAAAAAAACCGGAGTCTTACATTAATAAATTGGGTAAACTTAATAAAATGAATTTGAAATCAAAGGATAAATTAATAGAAAAAGGTCAATAGCTACCAGATAATTTAATTTGGTTTAAGAAAGCTTCAGTGATGGTAGATTGAATTAAAACTTATAAGTGTAATTATGTTTATGGAAATACAATATGGTGGAGTCTAGAATTATTTTTAAGTGGAAGTCTGACATGCAAATTAACTAAATTTTTGGAACCCAGTTTAGATATTTTTTGTAGAAATAACCCCTACTATGGATAAAATTGGTAAGAAGCCTAGAACAAAACCAACAGTATAATATTAAATTGAAGACTTTATAAGATTGGATGTCCAACTTCATTTCAAAAATGTAGTGATAAAACTAATTATTAAAATATTAGAGCATTATGGAGGCAAAATAAAGCCGTATGCCTCTATAAATATTAACAATCATGTTAAACATAATGTTAAATATACATTAAACAAGGTTTGAAATGAAAATTTAACTTTTAATTTAAAAAACTTTTACTAAAAAACTCTGTCAAAGCAATTAATTTAGCCAAATAATGATGATTGTGCAGTAGGTTCTTAATATCAGAATCAAGCAATCCATTTAAGTTATAATTAAATGTGTACTCTATGCCCAATACTGTTTAGAGTGCTGCTTATTTCTCATTTAATAATAATAATAATGCTTTATTTATTCTGGGAAGTGTCCCTTTAGAATAATACAGAGAAACAAAAATGTGGGCTAAGGAGCCTCAGAGATACATAAACAAGAGTATAGTTTGATTAAATAGTAAAAAATAAAAAAATATTTAGAGAAATTATAAGTTACTTTCTAATTTACATCAGTTAATAATAAAAATAAACATGAAGTAAAAATAATAAAGAACAATCTAATAATTTATATACATATTTACAGTAGTAACTATTTACAATTTTATGATGAGGACTGGATGGATAGGAAATGATTAAACAGTTGGGATTTAAAGGTAGAAAGGGTTTTGGATTGACGGATGTGGGGAGGGATGGAGTTCCATAGGGAAGAGGATCGAATAATAAATGATTTATCGAAAGCAGCGGTTCGGTGTGCCATTATATATAGATCTGAGGACCGAAATGTATTTTTAATGTAATTTTTTTAAACAATTAAACAAATAAAATATACTTTTATTGCAAAAAAACTTCACCAGAACTGCTAAAATGGTTAAAAAAATTACTGTTAATAAGTTTTAAAAAGTGAAATAAAAGTTTCAGCCCCTACATTAAAAGAACAAAATTAAGTTTTGAATATTCTTTTTAAATTTAAACATAGCCACCAAAAACAAATAAATGGATGCTAATGGGGGAGTAGTATTAGTGAATTTATCACATAGTTTTTATGAATTAATTAATTTAAATTCAAATAAAATTATATATGGTCTTTTCAAAATTTCAATCACATTTGAGCATAGTTTTTTTCAAAACTAAAATGAAAGAAATAGCAGATTTTCTGCTTCTTAGCAATCTTTATATATATATTTTTTTGAGTAGCTAATGTGGGCATTCATAATCATCAACATAAGTATTCAGGGAGCCCCAGAAGGAGGTATCATGGCGCAAATTGCACCTTCAATGTTTTTGAGAGGGGCATATTTTGAATGTTTCAAATCAAAAGGCAAGTCTCATAGAACAGACCAAAGGATGTGTAATGTTATATAACTTACGAATATTCAAATTCTACTTTCGTTTGCACTGTTTTTAAGAAGATGAGAGGAATAAAACATCTTAGGAGGGATGGAGAAAGGTGTATGCTTTGGGGGAGGGGATAGGCATCCCTGAGCCAGTTAATAATAATAATAATTTAATCTTTTACATAGTAACAATTATATTGTTTAATTTTGTTATATTTGACTTAATTTGTTTGCGATTTGCAGTCTATAAATGACAAATTGATCGGCGTTGCCATCAATAAAACGTTCAGAGAGCATTATTAAGTAACGGACTGGCGATCGTAACCCTCCCTACTTCCTGGACTCAAGGATTTTCTAAGGAGTGAAGATTTTGCCTTTCATGGGCACAAAAGCTTACTCAGGTTTTAAAACTGAGTTAATTCAACATAAGCTCAAATGAATTAATAGCAAACAATAGAAATAATCTAAATTACAAAAAAGTAGTTCACGACATCATATTGAAAAATAACATAATTTAACCAGCAATACTTTAAAATTAGGTCTAGGTAAATTAAATTAAATAGGGGAATAAATTCAGATATAAATTATTGGAAGAAATTATTAATATTAAAAATCCAAATAATGCAGTTTAAACGTCTGCTTAGGGGATAGCTAAAAGGAAAACGAGCGTGAACAAAATTCCGATTTTTCATTTGATTTTCCTTTTATATTTTGTGAACAGGAGAATAAATTTTCGTGGTTCAAATAGTATTCTGACTGTTCAGAAACGAGATATAAGGAAAACGAGTGTGAAAGGTTTTCTGATTTTTCATTCGCCGATCCTCTTACATCTCGTGAACAGTTTTATAATGGACAAAAGTCTGCGGAATCGTAGAAATTGAACCTCTTGCCAAACCATCTCAATTTTGATCTCGTCCTTCTTCTAATGTCGTAGATACTTTCCGTTAGAATCATCTTGGGGATTGCTTCTTCCCAACCCATCTCAGTCTTCCTTATCAGAATGACAACTTGTTCATTTAAAATTTAGTAAATTTCGATGTTTATGCATTCTAATTGTGATTGTGATTCGATATGCACTCCTCCAAATATTCTTTGAAGAATTTTCCTCTCAAAGACTAGGAGGCCTTGCTCAATTTTTTTAGTTGTTCTTCATGTTTCTGATGCATACAACAGGACTGGACGGATTAATGTTTTGCAAAGATGTAGCATGCTCTGCCGGGATAGAAGGCAACAGGTGAATTTCTTGCGATGGACAAAGTAACACTTGTTTGCCATCATTATTCTTTTCTTGACCTCAACCTCGGGTGCATTGTCTTGAGTCACCAGTGACCCCAAATACGTGAACTGGGCCACTTTCTCAATGGTCTCGCTAAGTCCGGGAACATCTGTGGCCATAACACCTCTTCCCGTTCAATGCTGTCCTAAGCGGCCTTGAAGTCTACAAAAAGATGGTGGGTTTTATTGGATGTTCGTTTCCTCTCTCTATGAATGTTCTGAGACAGAATATTTGGCCTGTTGTAGAGCTTCCCTGTCTAAATCCGCATTGGTAGTTCATTTATTGATAAGAAGTAGTTTATTAAATTAATAAATATATAATAATCATGAAATATAACAATTTTGAAATGATTATTTTTTTTATGTGTTGAAATAGAATTGAAATAATCTCACCAGTTTTAAAAGCTATCATCCACCATCAATTCATAAGTTTATCAACTAGTAGACTAAATCAGGTAAAAGAAATGTTTTTTATTCGATTTTACTTTTACATCAACAAAATTTTACCTATATTATAACATCTTATTCGTAAAATGTTAATGACACATATTTCACACACACATTGGTCCTTTTTGTTTTAAGATACAGTAATAATATTTAGTATACTTAATTATATCATTTTAAAACTTTGTATGTACTCACACTTTTAGGTTTGGTCTTTAGAAGATATTTCAGCACGTTACAATCTTTGTTCCTAGCTGCAACATGGAAGACGGTTTCCCCATTTCGACATTCTATCGTTTCATCAGCATTTTTTGTGAGCAACCAATCAATATCGTCCATCCATTTGCTTTCGGTCGCCAAATAAAGGGGCGTTTTATTGTTTTCATCTTGATAATTTATGTTTATCCTCTCAGTTTCGACTAGCATTACAAGAATTTCATTGTAATCGTGTTTATTAGATTCATTTTTTAGTTTATTATGAACAGCTAAATGGAGCATTGTAGGTTCTAGTTCGTCATTTCCCATTTTGTGCAAACATTTCTGCACAACCTCCACATTGCCTTTAAACACGGCCATCTGCAGTTCTCCCATCTTGGGATGTTTTTTGTATGCTGATTTCAGCATTATAGATATATCATTTTGATTCCTTGCAAGATCTAGTATTTCCTCTGTTACCGTAGCATTTCTTTCCAAAAGTTCTTCGACAACCTTAGTGAGCCCTTTTTTAGTTGCGATATATAATGCAGTAGCTCCATCTTTAATTTCTTCTCGAATCTGAAATACAACATTTGAATTGAAAAAAAAAATAAATAAAGAGTTCGTTAAATTCTACCTCTAATAAGCGTACGAATATTTAATAATGATTTACTCTGTTGTTTTTCTATGGACATATTTCAACGTCAAAGTAGCAGTTTTAGTCAAAGTTAGCAGTTCAACCTACTAAGTTTTATTTATTTGAAGTAAAATAAGAAGAAATTCGTAACATCATTGGTTATATTAATATTTAGAAAAAAAAATTTTATTTAAATTTATCAGTGTCAAAAAGGATCCTTATAATTTTATTTTACTTCTTAATTTTGTAAGTCTAAAATTTTTTGGGGGTTTTAGAAAAAACATTTTCATTTACTTCAATAAACTTTTTCATTTATCTTTTCGTAGTAATATCTCCATTATCAAAACTCCCTGTCAAAATAGTTATCAATTAATTATATTGTACATAAACTTTATAACTCATTTGTACATACATAAACAGTTAATAATAATTATTAATAACAATTATTATGTTAGTAACAAGTTATCAGAATATCACCGTACTAAATATTTATTGCACGTTATTTGTGATTACATTAAATTGTCAAAAGTTGATACAATTTTTTTTGTTTTAACTTTTTTTATTGAGAAATATTACCATCTAACTCAGTTAAGGATACTTACAATAGAGTTCAGAGAGTACATTCACACCGTAAATACAGAAACATAAATAAATAAAATAACAACAAACGAAACATAGAAATAAGAACAAAATAAAATATTATAAGAGTAAAAAAAAAAAAAAAAAAATACAGAAATAAAAGTAAAATAAACGTCTTAGATACTATATATACTATTTACAATCAGCCAGGGAAACACCGAACCAATCTTGTCCCCCCACAAAAAAAGCAAGGCTTAGGAGATAGCTTCAGGTATGACCGGTAATATTTTTGTATCATTAGTCCTGTTAACGCATGAATTACTACCAGAGCAGATTTTATTAAGTTGAATACTCAACAACTGGCAATTTCTTAAATTGTTGACAAAGATAGGAGGAGGGCGTGGTTCTGTAGGTATAAGTGTATCTTCCATCTCTTCCCTGTCATTTTGAAGAACCTGGTATGGATCACGGGCAGATCTACGGGGGGGGGGAGGCTTTCGGGCTGAAGCCCCCCCCAAAATGGTAAAATATAACCATGTTTTATCGAAAAAAATATTAAAAAAGTATCTCTTAAAGTATTATTGTTCGTGTAATTACATTTAAAAGGGCTTTAGGGATCACTTAAACACCATTTCATATAGGTAGTTAGTTTCTTTCTTTTTTTCCAAAGTAATTATCGTTATTTTTATGAAAAAAACAACTTTCGGGCTTAAGCCCCCCCCCCCCCCAAAAAATAAATCCTGGATCCGCTAGTGGTATGGATTGAGTGTAAAAAAGGGAGATTCGTAGGCCGTTTCTTGTGAAGATGTACCTGACCGTGGTTGAGGTACAGATTCTTGAGTGTTCGCTGGAGGAGTTCCGAGGGTCGTTGATTGCTTACTGCGACGTGTTTTTTGTTAAGACGGTGAATTATGAGGGGTAGAGCAAACTGAATGGGATCTCTTATTAGACATCACTTGGTGGTAATATCGCATATATATAAAAAATAAAATAAAATTACGTCTGCGTGTTCTAACTTTGGATGAACCACCGACTGCGGTCCAGACAGCTATGTGGCTGCGCTACAACTACAGTGGGGAGCCTTAGTGAGACGTCAGCTGATATGGCGATATAGAGATAAAGCCAATTGACGCTAATTCACTTCCTTCACTGTCCATAATAGTAAACAGTAAATATCAACATTACTCACTGTGTTGTTAGTCCATTATTTTTGTTGTTGTTTTGATATCAGGCTACACAGTTTTTTAATTAAAACTGAGCACTTGTTCTACTAGAAAACAGAAGAACTGTTGGACACGACGTGAAATGTAGGCATTCAAATCAAGCGCTTGCGCAGAACTGAATACAAATAAAATTGAATAATAATTAATGTAATTGGAAGATCTTGGGTGACCTTCTTTTGTCGAAATCGGAAGGAAATATTATGTTATATAGCTGAACGGTCGCAGAAGGAAGCTAAATAATATAATGCCTGTAAGAATTGACCAAGATTCATCAAATAAGATCTCAATGACGAACCAATAGGAAAATGGTATAGTGCTTTTTAGGATATTTTATCTTCTAATCTTCTATAGTAGTATGAAAGCGATTTCCACAAATGAAGATCTACTATATACTACTGTACCATCTCGTCCAGTTAAGGCCGAGATATATCATGATTTTATGGAGACGCAGAAATTGATTAATTCTTGGGAACTACAACCTGCCTCCTAGATCTGCCTAAGCCAAGCGTCACAGTTCCGTGCAACTGCTTTCCCGTTCTGAATTCCAAGAAGGTATCTTGCACATATTGTGGTGCAGTAATGTGTCTCAGGAGGAATACTTAGCCCAATATTTACTGAGGCCATTAATGATACAGTAAGGAACCAAATAAGTAAAGGACAGGAATACCCATTTCCCTCCCTCCACAAGAAGGTTGGCGCATGCCCTGCTACCCAGGACATACCTCTCGTAGGAATATTGCGAATAAGGTTAGTTATCCGATCTTGAATCTGATCCCATTCACGTACTTGGAGGATTCTTTTGTCGACGAATGGACGTCCCAATCTGGTTCCAAAGATGCCTTATAGGATTGCAGTCCGAGCTGTGAGCTGGCCACTCCAAAGTGCGGACACTAAACTATTCTAGGTAGTCCTGAACATCATTTGCGATGTGCGACCGAGCATCATCCTGAATAAAAAGAAAACAGATGGCGATAAACGGGCCATAAGATAAGTTTTTCCTCGAGGATGTCGGTGATGTACGTATGTGCATTGAGTGATGGGCTTCGGAACACTGCGCAGGTTTTTTTGAACACTAGTTTAGGTTACTGTCGATTTATTGAATATTTGATAAAATGCTTCCAGATATGTGATTCTGGAAAAAAGTAATTCTTAAGCCTTGTTAATCTAAAACATCAATATTAATCCAGGACAAACAAAAAAAAAGTTCATAAAACAAATTACCAAATTAGTAAGGTCATTGTGGTTGTGGCCATAAGAATCTGACACCTCATCTCGTAGTGTCGTTTCAGTTTGTTCCCGTCTCACAGGCGAATCTATCAAGTCATTCATTTTATCTAGAATAATCTTGAGGCATGGCAGAGATTCATTCCTGAAGGCCGCTAGGTGATGGGGCTGCAGTCCTCTGATATCCGTTTTCGTGAGGTCTGCATCCTTCTTGAGCAGCTCTTCAAGAATGGGGACTGAGCCATGGTAGGCTGCCAGGTGCGAAGGACTTACCAGGCTTACTTGGCATTGAGTGTCTGGGTGAGCTTCATTCGCTAACTGTCTGTAATGTGAAAAAAAAATAAATAAATCAAATTTATTGGGTTATTAATAGGGCTCGGATCTGAAGATCTAAATTTATTAAAGAATAAATGGTAGAAATAAATTTTTTAATCTAAAAAAGATTTGTAGAGTTTAAACATGGAAAGCTTAAGTGGATATACTTAAACTGAGCAGGAGTTTCCAGAGGAAGGTTTTAGAACAGGAACTAAGAAAAAAAGGTACTGAGGTTTAAGTGTATATAAAAAGAATATCTAAAGCCGTCGCATATTTGGAAGAGCTGCAGATGTTACTTTATTGTAAGTACTCAACACAGGAGGAGCATTGTCTCCCTATTTCTGGTTTCGGTATTGAGAATTCGGTATCTTTATTGTGTTTATATAATACATACAACTAATGCCTTATCTTTTGAACGTTTGGGGTCGCCTTTATTTTTATGAAGTTTAAGAATTAATTTGTATTGCCATATATAGTTATCAACCTAATTAGATTTTTCACCTCACTTCCTTCCAAACATGAAATAGAATAGAATAGAAAATAAACTTTTTTCTGGGACAAGATCTCTTCGGAATAACAATTATGAAAAAAACATATCTGGCCAAAAATTATATTAATTAAAATTAAAGAATATAATATATTCTATATTGCATTTTATACAATATCTTCAAGTGAAAATATATAAAAACCAAAAAGTAAAACCATTTTGAATAACCAAAAAAAAACAACAACAAACATTATTAAAATGAAAAGAAAGACAGAAACCAGGAGAAATTAAAAACAAAATGTTATAGTTGATTCTTAACATTAAAACTGAAACAATGTCAAGAACCATTCACCTCTATCAAACTTTGATTCATAAAACTTATTTCATTGTCCAGCGTCATTTTGGGATATGAGAAGGAATTAGCAGAGATGACATTTGAATGAGGACAAGGAAGAGGCTTGGCGGATATCAGATGGCAAGGAATTCCAGAAGGCAGTGGATCGGGCGATAAAGGAATATTCAAATGTCTTAGTTCTGTGGGAAGTATTATAAAGGTCGGAAGCACGATACTTGTATTCTGGGAGTGGACTACGGGTTTGAACTGTTGGAGACTGTAGATGTAGGAAGGGTGTCGGGTGTTGATCGTTTTGAATAGGTAAGATCCAAGGAAATATTGTCGGTGGGAAGAAGGGAAGAGCAACTTGAACTCGTCGTAATTTTATATGCCAACGGTTTTAAATAAAATTTTGGATGGATTAAATCCAAAGTCTTCTCCCTTTTCTTTGAGACTCCTAGTCAAATTTTGCCATTCATTAACAATTGTTATACTTAGTGAACGGAAAATGTCCGTTTTGGGGACATTAAAATTAATTCTTATCGCTTTAGTAGTATCACGAGCAATTTGATCCGCACTTTCATTTTCTTGTAGACCCACATGTCCTTGTACACACTGGAATGAAAATGTATTGCGTGATGTGAAAATTAAATCAAGAATTTAATAATTGGCAATTTGGTTCCTGTGATGATTTTGTAGACATAAGCATACGAAGATAGAATCTGTGAGAACGATAATATTACACTTTTTATAGTTGAGGTATGTTCTGCAGCCTTAAAACAGCAAGAAGACCTGCATGGAAGATACTGAAACTGTTTGGGATAAAATAAGACAAATTGGTCTGTTTTTTTTTGGGGCCATAAACAGCTATTGAGCATGTAATGGTCGTCTTAGAAGCATCGCTATTTAAATCAGGGATTGACCCCAACATTGGACATATATACATATTATACGTATATAATATATATTCGTCCCATATATTTTTCTCAAGATTTTCCTCTCCCAAGTATTAAGATAAAGAGGGAATATTCTCCTGTCGCTTCGTAAGATGCCTCACTGACATACATTACTACAGGTCGTAGGATCATCTTATACATTCTTACTTTGATCTCTTGGGATGCATTTCTATTGAGAAGAATTTTCTTGAGCGCCCAATAATATTTGATGTCGTTTTGAATTCTGGCCTTTATCTATTTTTATATTTTATTATTTTCCGTGACAATCGAGTTACTTTAATTTTGTAACAAATTCGAAACAATATCCTTCACTATTAAGAGATGCCAAGGTTGGCCGGGAAGAAATATACCGCCCTACGATTGGGAAATGGAGCCTCCATGAAGAAAGCAACTATAATGGAAAGAGATTAGTCAACTTTCCCTTCTCAAGAGATTTGATTATTGGGATTACCTTATTCCCTGGTTAAATGATTCACAAAAACACTTGGAAGTCTCCGGATGGTAAAACATGCAACAAAATTGACCATCTGCTCATATCGTCTCGCCACAAATCCAACCTCATCAGCAGCGGAACCTTTCGTGGCGCTAACATGGATTCGGGTCATTATTTGGTAACATCGAGAATACGAGCTAGAATCTCCAATAGCCACACAGTAAGGAGGAAGATTAGAAAAAAAAATCAACGACAGCAAGTTGAAGGATCCTGAAACTCGCCAAAGAAATGAAGAACAGTACAGCCATCAGATGAAGAACATAATGAAAGAAATGGGCAACGATCCTGAATTGGAAGATGAATAGAGGATTGTGAAATAAGAGTTGCAGAAGGAGAGTTAGGAAACGTATTGAGAAACACTAGAGATTAATGGTTTGATTCAGAATGCCAGGCAGCAAATGATGCAAAAAACCGAGCTTACCAAGCGATGGTGCATAGGAGATATAAAAGGCTAGTAAAGGCAGAATATAAATCTTTGCAACAAGCACAGAAGAAGCTTCATCGGAAAAAGAAGAAAATTTCCGAAATAAGAAAACTGGAAGAAATCGAGGAACTAAGAAAAATAAATGACAGCACATTCATATCATAGGACCAATCAAGAAAGAGGCGATTTCAAACCAACTTCTATCCTCTGCGAGGACGGTTCGCTGCTTACAAAGAAAGAAGAAATCATCCAAAGATGGGTGCGTCACATAGAAGATCTGCTAAATGACTCTACAGTGGAAGACGCAGAAGAAGTTGCCACGCAGGAAAATCTAAATGAGAACTCAGAAGAAGAGAATTAACCACCTGCGGGTTTCGAAGAAGTTATGGAAGTGATCCATGGAATTAAAAACTACAAAAGTCCTGGTTTGGATGGCCTTACAGTAGATCTTATTAAATATGAAGGTGAAGATTTCCTTAAGTCCTTTCATAATTTGATGGTGAAGAATTGGATTGATGAAAAGATTTCAACAGAGTGGAAAAAAGGAATAATTTGCCAAATCTGCAAAAAAAGGTGATAGGCTTCATAGAGTAATATCGTTATCAGCATATAAAATTCTTTTCGGAATTCTCTCCAATCGATTGCGTCCCTATGCGGAACGAATAGTAGGAAGCTACCAGACTGGCTTTAGAAGTGTGAAATCCAGTTCTTGAGTATATGATTAACCGCAGACCCAGGCTAAGATACCTAGATGATAATATATACATTTACATAAATATATTTAGCCATTTTGTGTTACTGATAACACGAAAGACTGTTAATTATTTCTAACAAAACAAACTACAAATTCTTTAGGAGAAACTATTTTGGAAATTTGAAGTCCTGTCCGACTTTTTCAAAAAGGATAGATTTACTTGATATTTTTTTTTTTTTAATATTTGTTTATTTAGAAATATTACATTCTGTCACATCAAGGACATTTATAATAGTGATCAGAGAAAGCACACTCACACTCTATTTACAATAAAAAAAAAAATAAATAAATAATACAGAAACTTAATAATAATAAATACAATAAAATAAAATTAAAATAAATACAATAAATACTTGATATTAAAAATATAACATTATAGGCTTTTAACCAAATTTTCAAATTAGATTAAAATCGATTACGTTAAACGTCCCTTCCGAATAGTGGAGGTTGGAGCTGTAACATCCCACATATATGCATACATACCTTTAATACGTAATTCTAGTTGTGTAAGACAGTTTGCTTTTGAGCCTTGAGGTTTGCATACACTCAGACCATATTGTAAGACTTGGTTATTTACCCTCAGGGAACTTCAAAACGTGTATTTATATTAGGTACATGTAGATTTCAATATTTTTTACTGCGGGAATACTTTCCCATGGTTCATTTACTGAAAAGTGAAATATAAAAAACAAAAATCTGGTGCGCATCACTTAACTTTCACTTAAAAGCCATGGTACAGACACCTTTTTATCAAATTATTAACATCCGCCTGAAACTTCGTAAATAGCTTCATCTCATCGTAACCTACCAATATTTTATTTACGATAATTCTAAGAATCTGAAGATGGGCAATCTTTGTCTATTTAATTAAGTACTAAAAAGCCATGAATACCCAATTCCTTTCCACTTGAATCGTAAGATAATATGATGAAAAAATGGAGAAATAAAGTTAGCCTACAAAAATATTGGCGCGTTTAGAATACATGAAACCTAATTTTTTAATTTTTTCGTGATGGAGGTCCATACCAAACGGACCAATATATTTCTAGACCATCTTTTTTTTTACCTTCACTTACGTATATATGTTATATATAGTATGGGTAAGTATTGCAATCAAGAAAATTTTTGAATCTGAGTTTTCAAAGTAAATACACGATTTGAGGTACCCTGAATCGAAATTACCAAGTCCCGAAAAATAGTCTGTGTGTCTGTGTGTTTGTATGTTAGCAGTCTAGCTCAAAAGCGAAAAGGCCCACAAAACTGATATTACGTATTTAAGATAGGTATATGCCGTAGATGTGACGGCAACTTTTTCCTTAAAATCGGCTAACCGGAAGTGCCACTTTATATCAACGCTGAAACACATTTTCACAATTTTCTCCAAAACGGCTCTAACGATTTTGATTAAACTCGGTGTATCATTGTATAATTAAGTGGTCTTTAATATCAATTAGGTCTTATCCCCATTGATGTCACTTTACAGGGCTTAAATGCCCAATGTTTATATACCTCTTCCTCTAAAGTACCTTTAATGTGGTTTATTTAAAAAAATTAATCAT